CGATGAGCTGGCAGTAACTGCTGATTTTAAATAGGATGTAAGATGATGGTCTTTCATACCGCCCAAACCTCTATGAAGATATTGCAAGGGGTATACATCCACGCGTAGACAGGAAAACGTCTGGTGAACAGCTGGTAGGTCGTGTAATCAAATCTCGAGTAGGAGAAGCGGTAAGGGTTGATTCCTGGTTACGGAGTGAACATGGGCCTATCATGTTCTGACGTCTCAGCAACACCAATAATACAGATCCATAGATATGGAACAATAATTATCACTTTCACCAACGCCAATAGAGTAAGTACAGAGGAATAGGTAATCTCTGATTACTGCCACTTTTTGGGCAATAGCTGCATAAGTACAGACGAGAGACTTGCGAGTAATGACCAAGCCAGACCGATGATGCCGTATGACTCCCTAATGAAAGATGCAAAACCATATGCATCCGTAACCACCGTTTCGTCTCCCATTCAATTCTGATTGCGGTAGAGCAGGTTGTTTTGATTGTCTGCCATAGAGGTGGATGCTCAGAGTAGTATCGAATCAGGTATGTATTCGTTTTCCAAATCCTCTCGAATAAGGCAACGGCTGCTCTCAAGGGGTGGGCGTTGTTGTCAGGCTTACGAGCCGGGGTTAGGGTTCATCTGTATAGATGTCAGTACCATATCGATCTGGAGTATCTGGATGAATGGAGAAAACGTACCTTGCGCTTGCCACCGGTCAGGGTGACGTTGACGAATCGTCGGGTGTATGTGAGTCTCTTCTTGGCACGGCCTTTGGGGGTCTTGGGCTTTTCTTGCTTCTCAACCTATTTTTGACGTATTAGTTCTGTATCATCTATTTCACCATGGTCGCATATATGAAGGTCATTTCGATAAAGAAGCGCGCGTTCGTGGTGTTGGAAATGATCGGGAATGTAGTCGCTGGGAAGCATTCGGTCGGAGACGGTCATCGAAGAATCAAGTGGCGAATCATCCACCATCAATCATCCATCAATTTTCTGCCTTCGCAAATTGCCGTGTATTCGTATTCGAGATATTTGTCGCAATCAAATAATGAATTCATCGTCGAAATGGAACGCGCGCTCCTTCATCGTCGTGGGAATGGAAGTTGAGGTTTTCTACTAATTTCGGATTGACTAACCTTAGGGGTCTGAGACTTGACCTTGCCTGTCGCATAATCAGCATTTGATTCATCGATTCTAACAATTCTGTTCTTTATTCAAATAAACATACCGGCACGGGCGAGAGATCCGTGAACTTTTCCCATCTTGTCGAACTTTTCAAAGTCGTGGAAGTTGGCTGTGTGATTTGGTGTCGATGAAGTTGGAAAGGGTTGGAAGAAACGATGTAGTAGTGTGGGTGGTTTTTTGCAAGTGGGTTTTTTGCGGTTTTGCGGATTTGCAGGTAAATGGATTTGCTGATGAATTCGCAACTTCTCAGCGTAGGAGTGGAGCATGCCAGGGTTTCTAAGCAAAGGAAGAGTCATACCGGAGATAGCTTAGCCACTTAAACTTCGTTAAATTTTCCACAAAGGGCTAAGCAAACCCTGGTCATGTGACTATGTTTAAACGCATACGTCGATGCTTAATCTTTTAGTAGAAACTTTCTTGAACAAGAGCAATTAGGTAATGAAAGGCAAATGTCGATCGGTACTAAGCTTGAGCAGGTCCAATCTGACTTGTGAATGTCTACTAGACTCTATGCAGCTGCAAGGTTCCGACGCTTGTGAGCATTAAAGCTGTAATACATAGCACCGCCATAGTGCAACAAAAACAACAACTTGGAAGTCTTCATTACAAACCCCATATATGCTGTATTCAATCCCAATAAGTACTGTCACCCAAATAAGTTTCTCTCATTTTTTTTTCCATCCTTCACATATCATCACATGAATACAACTCACAATGTCTATGAAATTTCATAGCAAGGTAAGGTACAATGTATAATATACTTATACGTAATTCAGTTTCAGGTTGTCTAGAACGGTTGAGGCAAGCACCAGGCCCAGGCCCGCAATTTCGATGTGGTCCCACCTGATACATCATTCACATGGGATCGCACCTTATTCACTTCCAGACCGGTGACCGGCCTCCTTCTCGTTTGATGAAGTATCGACAGACCGCTTAACGCCATCAAAAAAAAAGTTTCTTAGATTTAATAGAGCCCTCGAGCATCGTTCGTTTCGAAACTGTAAATTAAACATCCAACTCTATTGTACTCCTGTACTCTCGTACTCTCGTACATCCGGGCTTTTTACCTTTTTACGCCTCATTGTGCCACCAAACATTACTAGCAGCTACCCATTCGGTGCTACACCCACATCCAATACCATCCAATACCGCAATGAGGTTCCTTAACAGCCTATCGTTTATCTCTCTAGCTGCCTGTTCCCATGTGGCTGAACCTGCGCCGGATCAGCAACAGCAATACGTGTTCAGCAACCCTCCGGCTTCGGAATCCAATTATAAGATTCCTACTTCCTACGAATCTGCGGTGCTCGGTCGCCGCATCTTAGCCCTTACTCCACTTGGCACGCTTTCCACCGTCTTCCCGGACGCATCCGGTCCCCGCCAGCCAGATGGCCTCGGAGGCATGCCTCTCGGGTTGATGGAGTACGTAGCCGACTGCGAGGAGGACGGCAACCCGACCTTCCTAGCCATCAAGATCGGCACCAGTTTCAAGAACGTGGATGCGGGCTCCAATATCAGCCTCGCGCAAGAGTGGACACCCCCGTACCCGCCGGACAAGCGAATCAAGTCGACCTGGTTCAATTGGCTCTTCGGAAGCGACGGCGATTCCAGGGATCGAGTTCCTTACAGCGCTGTGAACCTCCCTCGATATAGCTTGCTCGGCTACATCGAGAAGGTCGATGAGGCGTCTATTAAGGCCATCTCATCGTGTTACGTGGACACACATCCCGATTCGAAGTACTGGCTTCCCGGAAACCCAATCCACGCATCCGAATTCGTGAGACTTGTCGTTACCCAAGTCTACTGGATTGGCGGCTTTGGCGACAGAGCATACATCGGCTGGATTCCCGTCGACGAGTGGAAGAACGTCACCAGGAAGGAATGGGAGGCCGTGAGGCTACCTGGTGAGAAGAAAGGTTGGGATGAATGGAGCTTGGATCTCTAAGCAGAGACCAGCTCCTCGGGGCCCATTGCCTAGGACGACTTATCTAGTTGCTGTATTCGTACTCTAAGAAATTGTTAGGAAATATTGTATGTTGGACGGTTGACGATATCTACGCATCACATGTTTGTACATTCATCTTCGTTCTCTAGCTTGTGGTAGCGGCTAACTACACGAACTTATTCGGAATATCCATGTAACTTCAAGCAAGGTTCATTTCATCCTTATGCAACGTCCGTAAACTGGACCAGTCAATTTGATACACTAACTAGTTGCCTTCTAAAATACTTGCACCGGTCCAATGATAACCTTGAGGACAATGAAATGGGATCCCAACGCTGACGTAACTCGCAAACGGGCTTATCACGGAACGATTACAGCGGGATGGATGCGGGGTTAGGAGTTAGGGAGACCGAGTTTAAGTATGACAGTCTACACCTTGGGTATCACGACAGCTTACGTGCACTCACTTTTCATTTATACTTTCCAATAAATATTTCGTGCTTAGTACCTCGTTTATTTACCCATAACCAGTCCTCATCATGAGCAGCAACGCAGGCCATCCAGAGGAGGCGCTCCCAGCACTTCCTCTACCGGAAGGCGTCACATCGGACTACATCGACTGCACCGCCTCCACCGGCCTCGCATTCCACGTCCTCAAAGCCGGCACCCCGGGGAAACCCCTCGTGCTCTTCTGCCACGGGTACCCGGAGCTGGCGTACTCGTGGCGCAAGATCCTGCCCGAGGTCGCGGCGGCCGGGTACTACTGCGTGGCGCCGGACCAGCGCGGGTACGGGCGCACGCGGGGGTGGCCGCGCCGCCAGGCCTTCGCCGACGTCGCGCTCGACGACTTCACGTTGACGAACCTGGTCCGCGACCTCGTGTGCCTGGTCTACGGCCTCGGCTACGCCACCGTGCACTGCATCGTCGGCCACGACTTCGGCGCCGTCGGCTCGTCCATGGCCGCGCTCATGCGGCCGGACATGTTCCGGTCTACCGTCCAGATGAGCCATCCGCACCACCCGCCCCCGGTCCCCGGTACGCAGAACAAGGTAGATATACAGGCTGAGCTCGCGAAGCTGGACCCGCCGAGGAAGCATTATAAGTGGTACAATTCGAGCGCGCAGGGGGCGGGCGATTGGGATCGTCCGGCGCAAGGGCTAGAGGCGTTTCTGCGCGGGTACTTCCACCTGAAGTCCGCGGACTGGGATAAGAATAACCCGCAGCCGTTGCAGCGGTGGGGCGCGAAGGAGCTGGAGGTCATGCCGGAGTACTACATCATGCGGGCCGAGCACTCGATGCCGGAGACCGTGGCGGCGAACATGGTAGGCGAGGACATTACCAAAACCGAACGGTGGCTATCGAGAGACGATCTGAAGGTTTACTGCGGCGAGTGGGGGCGCAACGGGTTCCTGGGCGCGCTCAACTGGTACAGGGCGCAGACGGCGTCTACGCCACAGTCGGCTAGGGACATGCTGTTGTTTGCTGGGAGCAGGATCGAGGTGCCGTGCGTGTTCATCAGTGGGAAGCAGGACTGGGGGAATTACCAGCAGCCGGGTGCTATGGAGGCTTACCTAGATCCGAAGGCTGTCAAGACGTCTTGCTTTAGGGGCGCGAAGTTGGTGGAGGGTGCGGGACACTGGGTTCAACAGGAACAGCCGGAAACTGTGATCAAGGAGATTTTGGCGTTCTTCAAGACTCTGTGATCTTCTACCTAGTATGTTTGTCGGGTCGACACTACGCGTCTACCTACATGACGTTGCCTGCCTACTAGGTACTTGTGAAGGCACGTCTTACCTATCTACTTACATAACCTTGAAGGGAATAGAAGGAGTTAGAGAAGAAGGTAAAAAAAGGAAGAAAAAAAAGCACCGCACCCCGGACTCGAACCGGGAATCTTCGGTTATGATTATATTTGTTTTATATAATTAGGAGACCGACGAGTTAACCATTTCTCTAGTACGGCTTTCATCTGTTGATGTTTTGTCACTGCGTGTCACTTGATCAACAGTGTGTTATTAATATATATTAATAGCAGATACTAGCAGTGGAAGGCACGAACGGCGTTTCTACGGTTGTTAACAGGCAACCGCTGGGCGGTTGGCAAGGTGATTAGCAAGGCATATGACGTATAACTATGGATGCCTTGGGAAAGCCTTGTCATTTTTCTCTGCAAAATGGCAGGTGCGTATGGAAACGGTATGGATATATGCTAGGCGGCTACGGCTACTGTACAACTGCCATCTGCGCCTTCCCGTTCCACCAATACCTGTTCTCCTTTTTGCTTCAGCTTTAGTTGGAAAGCGTCCGATCTGATACGTGGCTATTGTACGACTGAGTCACAGATAAGCAAACACTAACCCGTGTTATAGGTACTTGTATATATGTATATTTAGAAATGTGATAGGTCCTGTGCGTGTTGTGGCTATGACGTCGTGCGTTTTCGCGTTGGTCAAGCCAACTTGATATATGATACCTAGCCCCTATGAAGCCCTTACTATTATACCACTATCTAGGATTCTAGGTACATTGAGAAGAGCATATATCTGCATATTTCAACACTTGAGGTTAATTTATCTCAACATGTGTTACATCACCTGAAAGTTGCCCTCGCCGACCCCTTACCCTTCGCACCATCTCTTGCCGCGTTACTCAGGCGCTATTACTCAGGGGAGATTCAAGGGGGGGGGGGGGGGGGGGGGCACCCCAACTTCACACAAACACAAAAAAAAAAAAAAAAATTGATTTTGTTTAACAACCATGGTATTTACAGAATAAAAAAAATTAAAAAAAAAA